ACTCGCGGTTAAACCATCGTTTCCCCGACCGACTGATATCCGCGCGAGTGAGTGTCTGAAGCGAAACGGATCGATCGACGGAGTGCGAGTGCCCGGAGCGAGGCGAGGGATCGATCGGCGTGGAGGCGGCGTCGACCGACTGCGGCATCGACTTGTGAGTAATTATCCGCTTATTATGGTATTTGAACGATTAATCGGCCATTACTTTGCTCGCGACGATTTCACGACGTCGCGAGGTAAACACATTCCCGCACCACGATCGTGGCATCGCAATTTCCTTCGTTTTTGTCTGCCGACCTTTTTATATCATCTCCGGTTTGGAGAAGATTGAACCGAATTTTGAACTGTGTAACGAGCCGCCCCGTTGATGATTGCTCACCGCGAATCCTCATCGCTGGGGCATTCCTTTGATGAGGAACGAACACGTAATCTGACTACGCAACTCGTTCCGCTAACGTATGAATGTATACGGGACGGCGGAAGGGGGGGAGAGAACGATTTTTTTAACGATCACACGATACCCCCGTAAAGTCCACTTTAGACGATCTGTAATTTGCATCAGATTTCAGGATATGATTCTACAACGTGATACGCTACATATTTTGACGTATGCGCATGCATTTTGATGTAGGTTATTTCATACTCCGCGTGTGCATTCTGATTCTCTTCGAAGGTTTTACACGGCACATCAAATATAAATCTATATTGAATTCTATATTGAATTGCAGATTTTCTTGTGTAAAACTTAGGATGACCAAGCCCCGATTTAATTGGCAATTATTTCAACTGGCAAAATTGCGTACGGTAACATTTTCAACTATATAATTTGTTATCTCTAATCCAATTTTTTTTCCATAACGTGAAACAACGAGAAATTAATAATTTTATTAACAAAATCGTATAGTTATTGCTCGAAAAACTAAGCTCGGAGCTTGGTCAAAGTTATCCTTAATAAAATTTGTTACAATGTCCTGCAAGGCCGTCAATCATTCTTTCACTTGCATATAGAAAATCGCAAGTATTAATGCGAGGGTAAATTCCGTTTTACATGAGAAATGCTCGCAAATTCTCTTTGAGCTTTATAAATTTTGCGTATTTCAAATCATCTCTCAATTAAATAAAAATTTTTATTTCTAGTTAGGAGACGATTCTTTTTAATTAAAGCAGAATCAGTTTTTAAAAAAGTAAAATTTATTAATATAGAAATGCCGGAGATATCTCATAAGAGAGGTTTAATTTTTTTACAAAAAGAATTTATACTATTATCAATACTTATATATACTATTTTACGATATTATTATACATATATACAACTTTTATTTCATGTCAGAGAGAGAGAGAGAAAGAGAGCGAGAGAGGGGGGGGGGGGAGTTATTCTGCCGATACTTTGTAGAAATATTAGAAAAGAGTATTCTTAAAAATTCGTGTCAAAAATTCTGCTTTGTTGTTTATAAAAGAGTTGCCTCTAAACATATGTATGTATAAAGTTCCTTTGAATCTGCATTTTCCAAGTAGAATTTATGAGTTAATGTTTCAGTTTCCTTGGCAAATTTTGAATCGCTTTCGGAAGGATGATTTTGCGTGATGCACTATCTTGTGCAAGCCTTGCACATTCGCGCCTGGGCAAAACTCGTTTGCAACGTTTGTTAAATCCAATCAGTTATCTCGGCGCCAAGTGTGCGCGCGCGCGCACATGTGTATGTGTGTGTGCATCACGAGCCGCGTCGTCGTCGTCGTCCTCGTCGGCGGCGACGGCAGCGTTGCGATGCACCGTCGAGCTTGTTTTCGCGTTCCACGCGAAATCGCGGAGAAAGCCGGTCACCAACGAGAGGTACGAAACGAAATATTGGATTAGGTAGATAAAGGTGGCACGAACCACAATAAGTCCCTCGGACTGTGCGCACGCGATGTGCAGGGTGGCGCGGAGCGGGGGATCCCCTTTCCTCGCGGCTCTCGGCGGCAGGAGAGCCGAAATGCGATACACGGGGCGAGATAAGGACGAAATTGCGTTACGGCCGGCAACTCGGTCCGCGAGTCGATGCGTTTTATCGTCTTCCGACTGGCGTTGCACTCGAATTTGTCACTTTCCTGCGTATGAAAGCGATGATTGATTAGATCGCTTGTTAGGCCGAATGAGTTCTGTTGAAATGTATTCGTGACCGTGTCTCGAATTCCCGTTGAAAGTGTCCGGCGATAAATATGAAGATTTGATAGAGATCTCTAATACAGAACCACTGCTATAGCTTGCGTTACCGTATTGTCTCGTTCCTGTTATCCATATTTCATACAATATTGTAAAATGAATCGACAATTGTAAATTCTGTTTTGTAATTGTGTGCACTTTTATATATATCCATATGCGTCGTATGCTTTAAATTCTCTAAATCAATCTGCAGTATGAACTTTGGAATTATATATACAATAGTATACCTAATATTTATGTACAGACATGTATATTCATTTTTCACAATATGCACGCAGTATTTGTAAGAAACAAATGAACAATTTCCTGACATGTTTATTTATAATATATATAGAACGATTTTGTACGAAGTAGGAATTATTGCAATTTTCGTTCGTTCGCTATACATATATCGTCAAAGTTAGTGCCCATGAAAACATTTTGCACGCGCAAACATCACAAAGTTCCATGAGGTTGCGTCAATTTTTAACAGCGCGAAATCATGACGCACTTTATCTGAGTCGAGCGTAAAAGCGTTTTTTCCACAAAATCTGACAGGGACGCGCGCATCCCTAAAAAAAGCGAAAAATTTTTCGGCGGCAAGTTCCGCGGTGAAAGCCGATGAAACGCAACAAAAAGAGAGCAATGCTTTCATGACCCGATTGACGCGCGGAGCGATTAAATGCCATCGCGGATTATACGTTTAATTATTCCGATTGGCTTCTCTCTTATCACATCGCGCGTTTATTTCTGTTATACTTGCCGACAACTCTCCGTCAACGTCACGACAAACACCGACGCGCGGCGTCGCGTCATGTCGAATTATCCTCCCACGATATCGCTTGCCGCGTCGTTTACCGACGTGAGGAATCGCGATCTTCACGCGATCCTTTCCACCTTCATACGGAGATTCTCCCAGTTAGGGCGTCGTTCGCGAAATCATGATCGACGTCCCCACTCTCTCTCTCTCTCTCTCTCTCTCGGTCCCACTCTTCTGTACCATCGATCATCGTGATTCCGGGTTAAAAGGAGTGTCTCGTTAAAAAGGCATATACCATCGAACGCGCCGAAGTCGCTATCGGGGAATTTGTCGAGAGGGCTGGTGCGAGTGGCGCATGTCGGGGATTTGATCGACGTTCCCCATCGAGCCCCTGAGGGCCCTTCCTCATGGGGTGGAAGAAGAAGGGTCGCGCCATCGCGTCGGTTTGTCAAAAGTGTATTCCGTTCGCCGGTTTTCCGAGAGTAATTGCGCTCGAATTACATGGCCCGCTTTCCGTTGAAAAAAAAGTATCGTTTATTGCCTGCACCATCATTTCGTAAGATTTATATGAGACTCCATGGAAAAGGGGATACACACACGTGCCAGGATGATTGCGTGCGAAATTATCATCCCTACGAGAAACGTATTTTTCCCTTTCGCTTCCCGACTTCGAGCTCGCGTCTGACTGATCGCTTTTATCCTTAGGCGAGAATCGTTATTTACCGCAAGCGGTATCGAAATTTTTCTTTACATCCACGTTTCGCGAAAATCTGTCTGGCGGCAAGGTATGCGCGGAATTTTGCGCGTATTAAAGACCGGGGTGCGGGACGAATGGTGGTTACACAGCGGTAGCTGCGGGGGTTAGCGTTCTCCGCGGAATTCTAAGCAAAAATGAAAGAGTCGCGTTTAAAGAAGGGCGAGAGCTTTGTGAAAATATTTACCACGCATATTATCGTTTACGTGGTTTTGCGAGTTATTTCACGGTTCGCGTGGTACACTGTTTTGCAATCCTCTTTCAGTTCATTTAATAAGCAGGTCGCCAGTATAATGATCTTACAGGTGACTGTTGAAAATGATAATTTAAATCTGTCTGGCTTTTTCATTCTTTTTGCGAATGAATAATTACGAAAGTGCAGATGGATATTAAGATAAGACAAATGTACATTCTTATTAGATTTAATTGTGGTCATAATTGTACGATTATGAAAAGTGATTTAACTCGGATGGAAAGAAGGGAATCCGCAGATATAGACTTCTATAATTGTGGTAGAATAATGGATTTTCGTTATCTGTAAACGAATTTAAATTTGAAACATTTTTAATCTTAAAATAATGTTTTAGAAAATTGAGGACACACATTTATTTTTACTTCGTTGATCTTTTTTCTTTTAGAAATTATATTAAATATCGAAAGGTTACTATTCGTACACCCGAATATGTAATGTCAGAAAGTGCACAAAATGATGAAATGCTTGAGTAAATGCATGGCAAGTAATTTTTTAGTGGTACGATATCGTCATCACGTTAGCTGTACGAATACCCGTTATATGTTACGTTTCGGCTATCAATACCGCGTCAAACGTGACACGATAACAGGCATGTAATGCTCCGTGAAAGTGGAAAAAAAATGATGATTTCCCTATAGTCAGGCGAAAGAAGTTCTGCAAATTCATCCCTTTCGTAGTGATTTATCATTTGTTCCGCCATCATATTTCATCGATACTGTATGTGTGCGTGTCGTTACATTCCTCCTTTCACGTATATTCTCATATATTGTACGTAGTATTTGTTTTCCAAAAATTGCACTCTTGGCCATTATTTGAAAATATTTGGATTGATGGATGTGATGTCACGTTGCAGCATTTTATGAGGATTTTGAAAGGGGATTGATTAAATTTATTTCGCGAGAAAATTTCGACAATACCTTGTTGACTTACATGTAAAATCGATAATTTTGCCTTTATGCACGCAGATAGGGATTAACTTTCTGGTCCGCAAAAGTAGAAGTTGCACAGAATGGTTGAGCATTTGGTTTAAATTAACGATTTATGCACTTACATTCCGCTTCTCGATCGTAATCTCTCTATTCAGGATCCTAACAATAAGAAATGCTTCCTCAGAGAACCGCCATTTCTGAAAGAGCGGAAATGAATGCTGCGATAAGTTAAAAAGTAAGCAATGCATTATTCAGTTTTATTAAATCCTAGCGGAAGAAAGGAGTTTCGTATAATTCGAGTCTATCTTTAATTGGAAACCTTTCTCTTCATTCCTGATATTAATAACGTGACGTAAAAAGAAATGGGAGAGAGAGAGAGAGAGAAAGAAAAAAGCTTACGAATCGTATCTATGTTACGTACAGCTTTCAATGTAATTCTCGGTATCTGTATATTCACGTTCGCAGAGTTAGCGCGTATCGTGTTACGCATATATGTACATCTCAATTTGAATGGACTCATCGGCGTTTTATTAGGTCGGGTGAATGGGACTGCAAATTTTAATCGGTTAAAAGTTACAAAATAACTACCAACAAAAAATGGTGATTAGATAGAGGAGAATATTTGCTCCCTGGTGGTTAAGATAATTAAAAATCAGTGAAGAAGAAAATAAAAAAGGATGGATCTTAATTTAAAAGTCCACGTTTCTACTTCATTAGATTAAAATTCACTGTTCCCTTTCTTTTTTTTCTCAATTTAAAAATCAGCTTCAAGATGTGATTATTCCTTTGAAAAAATAATTTAATGGGTAGAAGAATTAACAAATATTCCAACCCCAAAAAGCTTGTTGCGGTAGACAAACAGTAACAGTTTGCTTGAGCGAAAACATGCCTCCGCTTGACGTTGTCATATCTGTAATGGAAATCAGTCGCGACCCTTATTGGAAATGCTTTTCAACGGTAGTGCTTAAAACCAACGGACGAATGGTGAAAAAAAAAGACAGAAACACTTGCGTGCAACCGCGGTATTGATCTCACGCAATGGGACACGCGACTTCGTGCGGCGCACAACGCGCGGATTACGTTTCGCTTCCCGGGCATAACGTTTCAGTGACACGTGTTTTTCGCGGTTTGCTTTCGGGGTCTTGGTCGAATTCAGTCTGATGGCGGCGTACGACGAATTTAATTAAAGTAAGTAACGACGACGGGGCTGGTATGTGGTAAATGGAAAGTGGGACCAAAATGTAACGCAGTGACGTACAATCTCGCGTATACCATATTTTGTTTGGAATATGTTTTAGTTGGGGTATGTTTGGAATATGTGTCGTTCATTTATTTTTAAACTTGTAATTACGATATCGGATTCATGACGTAAATCTGTTGAATCTGTTGAACTTGCAATTTTTCCTTCCTTCGAAATATTTTTCTCGTCTTTTCTTAATGCACATAGCATAACTTTCATATACCTTGCATAGTAAAAGAAAATTTGTTTTATAATCAACTCCTTTTTAAAGCTATCTATTTAAGATCTTATTAAACGCTTCTATTTATGTATAAAAAGAATTTGTGTAATGTAAGAATTGTGTTAAACGATATATCAAACATCAAATTTATGGCACAAGTTCGATGTATTGAAAATTTTATCTAATGCTCTAGTCCATTTTAATACAGTTAGGATTGATGTCGGAGTTTATAAATGTTGCAATAATGTCGATATTTGTAATAGTATCGGTTATACTGCTATTTGAAAGGTCATATATCTGCAAGCCATCCTTGATTTGCTATGCATGGCTATGTTGTATTGTATACATTCTTAGATATCGTCCTGCTGAGAAAAGTATTCATCGTCATGACAAAGTATGTATATTTATTATTCATGTATGGCGACTCTAATAGTTTAGTCGATGCGATTCTTTCTTTCTCTCTCTCTCTCCCCCACCCCCTCTCTCTCTCTATCTCTATCTATTTATCTCTCTCATTTTATTCATGTTAGATTAACATGAATAAAATGAGTAAACGCGGATATCTTTCAACAAATTTTACAAACCAACCGTATTATTAAACATTGTTAATTTAATATGTTAAATATAACTTTGATATAAATAAACATATATTTATAAAAAATATTTTATGACAGCCAGTTATGCGCAAATTGAAAAATACTATGAGAAACTTTTACGTGCATGTGTAAAATAACATAATGATATCTCTGATATTTTAATGCACGTATATATTATTTATGCAGAGTGCTTTATATAGTTCAAAAAATTATTCCGTTTATCAACTAATATTTGTATATTTTTTGCAATTATTCATTTTTGAAGAATCCTATTTCTATTAGAGTGAACAGGAAGTTCATTCCGTTTTTTGTTAAGAGATGACATTAGTTATAAAACAAAAAACGGAACAAACTTTCCATTCAACCTTATAATATGATTTTGAATATTATTCAAAAAATGCAAATGAAAAAGGAATCAATTGTTGTTTGGATAATGAATTTTCGAAAAATCTTATAACATTTTTCGTAAGTCTATGCATTTCTTAATCCAAGAATAATTAAATTTTACACTTTAGTTATTTATTTTTATATTTATGCAATTTATTTACTTTATTTATTATATTATCAACTTTTTTCTCTTTTTCTCAGGAACCGTGAGAATAAAATTATGACGATAAAAAAATTACATTCCTTTTTTATAATTATTTTTAAATTCTTTAATTAAAAATTTGTTAAATATTATTTCTTAAAATCGCGTAATTTTTATTATTTTTTCTTTTTTACACAGATTATTGGCATGGAAAATGTGTATTTTTCAAGATTTTAGATTCTAAAATTCTTAGGCGTATTATGTAATAATAATGCACAAAACATACTCAATCAAGATTTTTCTGAAATGTTACATCGTTACCAGCATTATAAATAATGTATAGCAGAAAGTGAAGGAGCGAAGGAAGTGTAGCTAGAACTTTTATGGGTGAGTTAACTTTTAGGAGAATTTGCATTGCAAATGAAGCAAGTTTTGGTATAACGCGTGCTAAAAATTTATAGAATAATTTCAATGACGGTTTGATTAGAAATCCCTAACTGTGGTTTAACACCATCAAGATAGTTGCAGTTCTTTCTCTACTATATTTGATTTAATCATTCGTAAATAATGTGTGTACCTGCTGTTAAAGCGCAAATAAGAAAGAAATATAAATCACCGCTAATTTTAACCTAATCATTTGCGGGTATTTTCGAAGTATAGAAATGGCCGCAATCAGACCAGAATTGATTCTGAATTATTTTCATGATGAAACGTACTCGTATTTCGTATTCACATTTGTGAATAAATTCAACGTAACATACCAAACGGTGGTTCGCACAATACATAAAATATAATAATTCGTCGAGTTACGTTGTGTTATTCTTATGATATTTAATCCAGAACAAATTGCGTACATTTGTGGTCGTTTATCGAATTATGTATCTATAACGATTCTCTATAAATGCGTTTCGCATCGTCACAGGAGAGCTTCAACATTGCAAAATGTATTAAGGCGCGGACGTTATTGAATGGGTTGTTAAATTTTGAGCACAAAGGTGTGTGTTACGCGTTTGATAGAGAATACGTACGTACGTCATTTTACATAAAATCCACTGGACGTACGCGAGATGCACGAGAAATTAATCAATGTGCAATATGTAGTATTTGATTTTTGAAATTACACAGAAATTATGCGCGACGAAGTTTCAGACGTATAATCATACGCTGTGCTCTCGAAAAGGCAGCACTTTCCAACTGTATTATATATTTATTTTCATGTACAATTTTTATATCAAAGGTTAAAGGTCAAGCAATCCTTTCTTATTTAATGATTCCAGCTTTGTAGATGCTCTTTTTTAATTATTTCTTATAAATATCTATCCAAAAATATTGCACTTACTCATGTTAATTTTGACATAAATAAGCAGTGAATAAAGTAATTAAAATGCGTGGAATAAATGTGAGGCAAAGTATAGATAAAACGTAGCCATGGATAATCTTCCGATGGATAAAATCGATATATCGTTCGTTCATACGTAAGCAGTTAGCGCAACGAATATTCCTTCGGGGATGACGTCGATAGACCGGATATATGGACGCAGTCCGCACATTAATAATAGGACGATATTTGCATTACAATCGCACGCACGACCGCAATAGGACCGCTCTTCAAACTCATGCTCATTTAACCAATTTCCGGTTATCAAGAAATCAATATTACAATTTGCTTGTGCGCGAGTAAATTACCCGGTAATATTCCCCATGGCGATCGTGTGTCGAATGAGAAAAAATTTAAATGCAGCACTTTTGATCTGGCAGGAGAAACGCATCGCAATGATCATCTTTTACAACTACTTTTTTTACGATACTTTTTCGTTCTCGTTTTCTCGTCCCCCCCCCCTCTCTCTCTCTCTCTCTCTTTCTCTCTCATTGTACCAACTGAAATCGTTGCAGCGTAAGCTACAGGCTATGCGGCATCGTTTAGACGATATGCACCGACTGTTTCGTTTGTGCCGTGGAATCGACGTTTCTCGTTGCAACTGCCAGATCCATGGCTGCCGTTGGAAAACTCGACATCGCTTATAACCGATTCCGCCTATCGGGATATCAACGTCATAATTTGCACAGGCGAGCGAGAGAGAGAGAGAGAGAGAGAGAGAGAGAGAGAGAGAAGATGCGAGACGCGTCGCGATACTCTGGGTCACTTGAAGTTATAATCCTCGATAGAATTTTGTTCTTGAACGAAAAAGAGTTCGGCGCGCCTTTGCAGTTCGATTGCGAGATGCGTTATACTCTGCGAGAATTTATCATTTGGACTGCGAGAGGAATCGATCACTCCGGTGCACGCCGGAAAAACCGTGGTGGAAGCGGAGGGAAGGTGTAACGTGCACGAAACCATATATCCGCGTGCTGCGAAAGCCAAACATCGTACAGTTGTTCTGAAGAAACAAATAAACTTTTTTTTTTTTTTTTTTTTCGAGAAGATCGATTGCCCCGAAGCATTTTTCCCGAAGATATAAAACAACACGCAGTAACAATCATTCTCATGAATAAAGGATAACGGATATTCCTTAGATATTATTTACTTAAAACTATGTAACGCAAAGATAAAACACATTTCTCTCTCATCATAATTTTCCCTGAAATTTTCTCTAACACGAGATCATTTATTCCGCATCGATTCATCAAAATTTTTCAAGCTGTCCAGATAAAAATTAATAAAAATTGTATATACGTATAGAGAACAGTTCATTCAGAGAAAAACACATATACAGATAATTTATAAACATAAATATCTATAAACGGTTGTATAATAACTTTTGAAAAAAGATTGAACTGTTTTCGAATTAAATAAGCGATACATACCTTGTTAACTATTTATGAACATGAAAAGTAAATGTTTATTTTAATTCACAACTCGCACGCGAGTTTTATCGACAGTTTCAATCAATTTGCGAACAGAATCTCGAAATTATATAGACGTCCAATGGAGTAGTGCCTAATTATGTGGCTTTGCCATGCAGCAGCGTCAGAAGCGTACCGGAACATCCCAGCGAAGTTTTGTAATCAGTTTTGAGACGATCAGCAAATGCAGTTCCGTTATGGGACTGTATATAGTCACTGATTTATCTATTTGATGAAACAACGTCGTTGCACGCAGGTGTTTATTAAAGCGGTTGGCTGTCGCGATAGCGGTTCACGGATCTCGTTCGAAACGCGACTCGGCGCGCGGCGCGGCTCGGCTCGCAGCAGTTCGATTCAACTCAGCTCAGCAGCTCAGTTCGGGCTCGGCTCGGGCACGGCGCACTCGACGTCGACCATTACGTTAATTACGGGCAAATGGATAATGCCAACGAGCGTCGAGTTCTGCAGTCGACACGATGGCGATGTCAACGAGATACTTATTGTCGGTAACGCACCCGCGCGCCGCAACGATCGTTCTCTCTCTCTCTCTCTTTCTCTCTCTGCCTCTCGTGAAAGCGAAGAAATTACCGAGTAACGACGCGAATTTACCGTCGCTAAACTTGTTGCACGCCGTTTGTGAACCATTTTCGCGGGAGGCAGAGAGAAAGAGAAACGTGATGAATATAAAATACGATTATAAAAACTGTCGACACGCGGACATCGGATGCCTGTGCGCTTGAAAAACTTCGTCTCTTGTTAATTTTTGGACGCGAAAGCACCGAGAGAGAGAGAACACGCGGAAAATAGGATTCTTTTCTCAATTACACGTAGCTTTGATAAATTATACTTTTCTAGCCGTAATTAAGTGCAACGATAATATTGCACCAAATCCAATTCGTGATCGAAAAAATATGAAGAAATAATATATTTTATAATACTTGTCCGTTCTAGAACTCGGAAGTAAAAATTTATCTCACTGAACAAATTTTAAATATAATACGATAAAACATAGGATATATAATATGATATAAATATATAATATGTATAATATAAATATATTTCTGTATATAATGAGCTGCTAAGATGTTAGATTTAAATCTATTTTGAGTTGGGTGCTGATAAGTGGTCGACAAAATTGTAGCGATTCGTGATTGCCAACAATTTATACGTGTCAGTCGGCAAGATCTCAGCTAGGTAGCTTCCGGTAAATAGTTCAAGAGCCTAACATCTCGGGTAATGATGGAGAATTAGAAACTCAATTATACGTCCTCGGGGTATGACTTTAAGTGCAATAGCTTCGCAATTTTCCTTTCGGAATAATTCGCTGCATTCTGTGTTTGCTCTGCCAGTCACGGCATTGCCTCGTTATACACTTGCATCACGTCTGGTTTCTTTGCAATTTCAGTACGTATTTATAATAACGTCTCTCTTCGGATCACATATTGTACGTGTTCTCGTTTTTAAAAAGCGTAATTGGAGAAAGTAATATATTATATTGAAATAAACTCGCACTTAAT